AAGAACGAAAGTTTAGAACGATAGGGCCTACCAAAAAAGGCTGCGTGCTAGTCTACTCAGCGCGTCTACAAACGAAAAGTAGTGTGACAGCCTTCATTAAGGGAAAGCTAAAAATAGGCTAGCTCTGCGGTATGTCAAATAAGCGTTTACAGAACAGGAGACGGTAGTACTTGAGGGCAAAAATTGCCTTAGATAGTGGAAATTAGTTACCTACAAAAACGTCATAGGTTTCAGCAAGATAAACAAGCCGGAAAGGTTTTGCTGTCCGGTGTGCCGTATGATACTGTGTGCCAGAGAGGATGAAGAACAACATAGAATCCCAATTCCACCAGGTCGCCAAAAATAACCACTGTCTGACAAACGGAGGCTATAGTCGGTGCATTCTGGTTGTGCCTGATGAGGGGTTCGCTTTCCCGCCCAAAACAGCAAGGGCAGACCATCGCCCACAAACTTAATAACCATGAGATGGAGGGATACCAATAAGACATGACTGGACTGACAAATCAGCAGGAAGGAAGTAGTAGACAAGTATCAGGGTACGTACTGAGTTTCCAACTTCACCAGTCTCTTGGCGGTGTGGTCGAGGGAACCCATGTCCGCTAGGAGTCCAATGCAATACTCCTTCACGGTGAATTCGGAGGTGCGCTGACGGAGGATGCTGAGGACTTGGTGGTCGTGCGGTTGCGCATTAATTGCATGCACAATCGGGTAGCTGAACTTGCCTTCTGTGATATCGTCGGCGAAGTCTTTCAGGTCATGGTACTAGTGCAGGAAAAAAAGAGACGAAAGTGCATAAGAACACCCCCGATGACAGTTTGGCCTTCACACATGCTTGAAAGGAGCGGGTGCAGTGATGACTTGCCTGTAAAGCGGTGGAGGCGGCAACCTTATCCATCGTGTTCCACTGATGACAAGACTCAGTCAGGACCATTTAAGATGGACTGGAGTGCCGTGGCTAACAAACCTAACAGATTTTCTACACGTGCCACACACAAGACATGATCTCTAAGTTTACGCGTATCGGACTTTGAGAAGGGGGTTTTGAATTTCACATATGGATGTGACAGAAAGACCACCCCAGGAGGGGGGGCATTACCGTCTGACGTTTGGTCCTGAATAAAACCGAGGTATTCGGACGGTAAGGAAGGCCCCATTTTAAGACTGTTAGCCTATCATGGAAACGCATTTGATAGTATCAGTTTCGTTCATTTTTTCTATCCCTCGCCCACCAGTATCCATTTGACCGGGAAGGAATGCACAATGACTTAGGCAGTACGAGGGTCCGTCTAATACGCGTCGTGTGTGGTACGCGTAGATGGGCTGTAGAACTTTTCCAGCCACTGGGCCTACGTCCACCTTTAGTCCTTACTGACATACGGGGGCTGAGAAGAAAGAGTGGGATAGATTTCCCAGAGGTTCTTCCCTCAATCCATGTAAAAAGCGCCGCTGCTCCCAAATCACCGAACATTGATGGACCCTGTAGTTTGCGAAAGCAACAAGATTACGTCTATAGTAAGTAAACAAAGCGCAAATTCCACATTTCTCTCTCTCTCTACCTTCGCTCCTCAGAGGCCTGCCGGAGTCGAGGTGCCTGGAGTGGGGCCAGGTGGGATGGCTGATATGAAAATCCACGTCTAGCGTGTGCCACGCATGGGTCATGGGCAGTGTAACGGTCTTAAGCGAACGCTACCTGCAAAGTAATTAATTTTATTCCGGCCTGAAAGGGCATCAGTCTGACCAAAGTCACAAAATACATCAGTGTCAGACAACCACGTTTATATACTTTTTACGCACTTCAGTCTGAGATGCCGGATAGCTGGATTAGTGCGTCTAGCGTTTAATTCGGGAATCGCAGAAAACCACCCCTATACCAAACCAACCCCGTCAAAATTGATCTTTCGAACCACAAATTAACAGGGTTTGCTTGCGAGAGAAGGGCTTCGATTTGGTGGCTGATCTAAGAGTACCAAAGCCAGGGCCAGAGAAGATAACTTAACGACACTTCAACTGCGTTACAATCCACAAGTTAACAGGGTTTGCTTGCGACAGGAGGGCTCCGATCTGGTGGCCGACCTAAGTGCACAAACGACAGGGCAAGACAGGGGAAATTACCGAAACTTCAAAATTCAATATTCCGAAAACTATTGGTGGGCTATGAGTGGTCTGCAACCATCGGTAACCATACGTATAAGCACAACTTCGAATCACGCAATGAAATATTGTGTCCAAAATTAGTAAAATGTGTCCTTTGACTAAGCAGAGATAAAACGACGAAAACTAGAGATTTAGAGCAAGCAAGGGTGATGAAAGAGCGAGGGCAGGAAAAGGATAAGTTGTAGGTTCGAGTCTATCAAAAAGGCTAGAAAATTTTGGCAGTTTACAGCAAAGACGATTTGAGATATTCTGGAGTGACAAAAGCCCAATGCCAGACT